ATTCCTTTCATTTCTGTTCCCATTTGTAAATTTTTCCTTATATCAGTGTACCTTCTACATTGTACTAATATATGCTTTACTGTTCTGGGTACTTGGCAATGTGTGCAAGTAGGGGCTTCTAATCCTCGCAGGAGGTATCCATGGGAAACTCACAGTGTCCGATTCTTAGGCGACATAATAATCATAATAATTATTATTAAAATCGAAATTGAAAATAATTAGTAAAACGAAAAATCGACGAAATAGTTGTACTACAAATAGGGATGCTGCTGGAATCTAAGCTTACTGAAAAACTGGCTTTACATGCTGGTATACTGAAGCAAAAACTTGCAATTTATGCAAACAGAATACGAAGATATGAAAAGTCATTACTTCGAAAACAGCAGAAAAAAATGTTCAAAAGCAGTGAACAGCAGTTTTATCAGAGCTTAGGAAATGATAAGGAGGGAGGTGCAAGTTGTTCATTAACTGACAATATTATAGAGTATTGGAAAGAGCTTTGGGAGCACAATGTAGAGCATACTGATGAAAATAAATCACTAAAATTAGTAAATACTGAACATCAAGAGAAACCTCAAATGCCAGAATTCGACAACTCGAAGGAGGATGTAGTCGCCGCTACAAAGAAAATGAAAAACTGAAACGCGCCTGGTAGTGATAGCATTTAGAATTACTGGTTAAAAAATCTATCCTGCCTGCATCATAACAAAAGAAAATGATAACATGGCAGATAGACATTTCCAAAACCTTTTGTAAAGGCGTTACTTTGCTGATTCCCAAAATGGGAAATAAGCAGTCACCTGAATACATTACCATTTCAAGAGGTATAAACCAGGGAGACTGCCTCAGTCCCCTTGGGTTTTGTCTTGCGATGGCTCCGTTGTCAATTTTATTAAATCGTGATGAAAGCGGATACAAAGTAAAATTTAATAAATTAAGTGCAATGATCAGCCATAGCTTTTATATGGACGATTTAAATCTCTGCGCAAAGAATAAATCCCAGTTACAGTCTATGCTAAAGACAGTTACCCACTTAAGTGACTCTATACAGATGTCACTTGAGATTGAGAAATGAGCAGTTCTTCACGTTATAAAAGGAAAACCAAATAATTCTGAAAAGTTGTGTAATGAAGAATATCATATTAAGAATCTTCCGAAAGAAGATATTTATAAATATCTAGGGATAGAACAGCATTTAAAAATAGATAGAAAGGATGTAAAATATAAATTGATAGCTTCATTTAAAAAAAGACTTAAAATTATCCTTAGAACATACCTTTGTTCAGGATTAATGATAAGAACTATAAATACATGGGTTATTTCTTTCTTATCTTACAGCTTTGGAGCTCTAAAATGATCCACACCGTCACTCCAGGAATTGGATAGGTTAATTTGAACAAGAATGACGGGTTCCAGAATGCACCACCCGACTACGTCTATGGCAAGGCTTTACCTGCCAAGAAAGGAAGGAGATAGAGGTCTCACAAATATTGAAGAGTCTTGTCGAAGTCAAGAAAAGAACCTAAGGGAATACTTTAGACAAAGCGAAGTGCCATGCCATAAGATAATCTGCAATGTCGATCGCGGACACACTGCTCTGCGATTAGCCTTTCAAGAAGCTGTGCCAATCTTTATTACCAACAACAACCGACTGGAAGAGCGGAAGTCAAAAGCATTACATGAAAGGTTTTTTCACTAGCTTCAGCAGTCTGAAATAGATAAATCTTTGTCCGTTAGTTGGCTGGTTAGAGAAAGTCTGTTCTCCGAGACTAAAGGTTTTTAAACTGCAACCCAGGACCATGTTATTGATATGAGATCCTACTGGCTCTGTGCAAGCACATATGAATCGATTCAACAAATAACTGAAGGTTGCGAAACTATTGCACAGAATTGTACAGAATACCTAAAATACATGACGATGTTGCCAAAGTCTATCACCAGGCGATTAGTCCAAAAATAAGGCGATTCGGTGCCCTACTGTAAATACAGCCCTAAAGGTCTCTGACAGAAAGATTGTATACAATTATATTGGAATAAGTCGTTTATAACTGACCATCTCGTGACTCACAACAGACCTTGTGTTATTGTGTTAATTGACGGTAATATTAAGGTCGCTGAAATTATAGATATCACTGTGCCAAACGATGGAAACATTTACTCAGTTTGTGCAGAAAAAATTCGGAAGTATGAAGGTCTAGCAGCTGAGTTAAAAAGTTTGTATAAACTTAATAAAGTAACCGTTAGGGGCATTGTGATCTCCAGCAATGGCCAGTGTCTACTATGGAAGCTACTGATAGGCTGTGCCTCCCAACTCATGTAATAAATGAAGCTCAGAATGCGGTGCTGTTGAATACTGCCAGAATTGTAAGAAGCTTTCTCAACATCCAATAGAAATTAAAACAGAACATACCTGAGGTGGTTGGAGTTTATTCTTCCCCTCTCAAGTAAACAAAAAATCTTTTGTAAAAGTGTTGGCAAATAAAATAATAATAATACTTTATTTATTCTGGTACGAGTCCTTTTAGAATAATAAAGAAAGACAGAAATGTGGGCTAAGGAGCCTCAGAGATACATAAATAAAAATACAGAGTAATTTAACAGTCATAGTAAAAAAAAATAAAGAAATATAAGTTACTTTCTAAATTTAATCAGTTAATACTAAAAAATAAAAAATAGAAAAAAAAATGGTGAAGTAAAAATAATGAAGAACGACCTTATAGTTTATATACATATATACATTAGTATCTATTTACAATTTCATGGAGACTGGATGGATAAGAAATGATTGGACAGGCGGGATTTAAAGGTAGGAAGGTTATTAGATTGACGAATGTGAGAAGGGATGGAGTTCCAAAGGGATGAGGATCGGATAATGAACGATCTGTCGAAACCTGTGGTTCGGTGGGCACTTATGTATTAATCAGGAGACCGAAAACGAGTATTGCGGGAACGAACAGAGGATTTGAATTGAAGGAGCTCGGAGATGTATGAAGGACGGTGGGATTGGATTACTTGAAAGAGGAAGGACGCCAGGAAATATTTACATATTATTATTTCTTCTCGTCTAGACTTTCCGTTTGATGTGTCCCTTTTTATACATTTTTTTTTGTTTATTTCTTGAAGTTATGCCAAACTCATTTCCCATTCACTGTTCCATTTATTTTGAAAGGAGAAGGCAAGTTGGTGTGTCTAATCTTCTCGAGGAATGGTCTCAATTACTGTGGTTTGTGCAGTTCCTTGATTCCGAGCGGAATTGGCAGCAGCATCGTCCCTCTCATTACCCTGGACACCACAATGTGATGGTACCCAGATAAGGACTATGTTTTTATTTTATTCCTGTAGTTCACCATATGTGTTAAATATTTCTGTTATAAAAGACTACTACTTCGTTGATTGTTCTATGGCTTCTGTAACGGAAATTGAATCGGTTACGATAGCATGGTTTTGAAAGAGGTTTATGCGGATGTGCAAGAGTGCTTCTTTTATGGCCGTGGCTTCTCCCGTTAAGATAAAACATTCTCCTGGAAGTTTGTACAGGAATTCCTCACTGTCTGTAACGACTGAACATCGCACTTGGTTTTCGGCTTTTGATACATCTGTGTACAAAATTTTGTAGTTGTAGTATTTGTTTAACAATGCTAAAAAATAAGATTTTTTTCGTCCGAAATTTGCGGGGTTTTTTTTTTAGATGTGGAACATATATTTTTCTGTAGAAATATTCGGGAGGCTTCACCTTGGAATGTTTTTATTTGGCAGCTTTTGATTGCATTTTGGTTCATATTGAATGCTAACATTGATTGAATTATATTTTGCTTGAAACCGTTAATGATTGAAACTGTTTGTGGATCAAATATGATGTCTCTTAAGGGGTGTCGTGGAAGTGACATTATCTTATTGTAGGTACCAAATAATGTTTAAAATCCACGTCTTGTGGCTTGTATTGTAATATTACATTGTTTAGATATTGTATAATTTATTACCAATTTAATAACGACCTATTATATTTAAAAGCCAAATGAGTCCTTCCTGACTATTGAATGTCGCAATCCCTCACACGAAATGGGACATTTCGTGCCGATCTAGTCAGTACGGACAACTGACAGTAATAAAACATTATAACTTCAGTGATTTCACGCTTTTGCGGACGATATATAAACTTATATATATGCAATTTAATTAGGCACTTTATATTTATTGCTCATTATTATCATTCTTAGCCTGGGAATGCTTCTAAAAAACAAACCAATCTCTTATGAAACTTTTTTTTTTTTGTTATAAATTAGTAACAAAATAATCAGGAGACAGAACATAAAAGCAGACTTACAGAGTATGCGATTGGATTTGATGGAGTGATGTTTGGATTTGATGGAGTGATGTTTCTGTCCTGATGATGCCGTAATTGGCGAAAAGTTAAACGGTTTTTCTTTGCCTGCATTTTGACTGGTTTGAGACATAAGGCTAATTGGTTTGGAATTTTTCCAACAATAACCTAACATTTATTAATTTTGTCCTCATATATTTTATGCATTTCCAACATAATAACTGTTTCCATCAACTGGAAATGATAAGGTGCGTTTAGATATTTCACATACTATGGGAAAAACAAATAAATAAATGGTTATTACACTCTGCTAATATGTTTGTTTCTTTTTTTTGTTATTTTCTATCGGCTATCGGTATCACGAGAAATAAAATAAATAGTTTGGTTTAGTAATAATTTCGATGTTAGTTAAGTTAGATAATTGTGTTACACAAAGTTTGTGAAATGCCTAAACCTACCTTTAAATTGCGATTGGAATTATACATGATTACTTTTCATTCTAAAACTGTTTTATTCGATCAGACAAAAATATTCTATCTAATTTCTTCAATAATATTGGTATAACCAAAAATTACATTATAATAGTCCTAATTAAGTTACTTAAATGATATATTGTTTTCATAAAATAAAATAAAGTATTTTTAAGTGGTAACACTGGAACAATCGATCCAGTTGCCTACTGTTCCTTGTTAGGAGTGATAGTGAACATACAATGCAGCTGTTATAATAACTAATTTAATTCGAGATACTTGTTAATTTTACATTATGCCACATTCCTATTACACCGATAAAAGTGTTTCACATGTTTGTGTGTTATTGTGCCGAGTGCGATTTTTTAAAGTGAAAGCATGAGTAATGAAAACAATCAGTACTTTGTTGACTCTAGTCCAAATGATGGCAAGTGCCAAATATCAGATGGTGTTTGCGAACATGTATTTTATTTACATCAACAGTCTCAATATATTGATGATCTTAGATCCCAGTTAAGTACAATGATGGCAGAAAGAGACCTTCTTTTATGTGAAGTCAGTCGTCTTAAGTTTGAATTGGAGATTGCTGATATTAAAAGAATAAATGAAGATAGGTATGATTATTTGTTAATTGAAAAAATTACCAATTAATTGCATAATCACTTGTCTGACAGTCATTACTTTTATTGTAAACAATGAATGCCTTATCAGATTTGAATCTGACCTAATGATTACAGTAATTATGACTTTTTTTTGTTATCTTATTTATCCCCTATGTCGTTATTTTAAATTTTGCATAATTCAAATGACATGATAATTTATTTAATTGTTGTTATCATATTCAGTATAAAGTGTAATGACTGTTTATTTATTTGGTGTCAATCTAAAGATAACATAATCAAGTTGTTTGTTTTTAATTTTTCGTTTATTTCATGTCAGTTTTTTTTTTACTGTTTCACAATAATATACATTCTTTAGTTATTTGAAGAACAACAATTGAAATGGCCTGTGAACCCATTCATTGTATTCGTAATTAATCTTATACTATCATTTAATAAACTAAAATTAAATGTGATATAATGAATTTGAAGTAATTATAAAGGTGCTACAGTGTTGCTTCAACTTTATCAGAATGATTACTGTAATTTTAACTTAAAATTTTCAATGTTACATTATTAAGTTATTTTTATTCTTTATTTGATGAAAAATAATCTCCTTTTTCATATCTAAGATAAGTAAATTTCTTTCCAAAAAACATAATTCAAATAAGATTTTTTTTTTAATAAAAGGCCCCAATTATTCGCTTTAAGGGCTCAATATTATAATTGATTTTTATTTGAGCTAGTATTATTTAGTGCTATGTTAATCTCACTTATTTCTTACTTATCTAGAAATATTAGTTCCCATTTACAGTAATTTATTGTATTGGTGTAATTAATGTATTATCTATTAATTGAACATGCTTAAGATTATGCAAAACAGTTTCACAAGACAGTAACGGTTGTATTACTTTCCTAATTATACTGGGTGATCTTATACTGTTTATGGACGGGAGAAAAGATTTAGTAGGTTCAAGGTTTTAATTGCTTAGGATATCATAATTAATCTGTTTTAAAGAGTTTAATTATACAATTTAATTATATTTATATTTTTTTAACACCCAAATTTATTATTAACATTGCTTGTAAGAATGGTTTTATGTTAATAAATAGAAGTAAATATTAAGTTCAAGTTTTTGACTTATATTTTCACAAAGTTGTTGCTAACAACTTACTTTTTTTGGTTACAAAAATTAATTTTAAATTTTGTTAAATTAACAGGCTTTTTCTCTTAAAGTAGTTTTTAAAATCCAAACTACATACAATTTCAATTGAGAAAACAGAAATAAGTTTTATTTGTTTATTGTTTATTTAATGAAATTTACAACTGTATACAAATACAACAAGTAAATATGCGCAAATTGAAATAAGTAATTTTGTTAAATAAAAAACATAGCAACTTTTTTTCATTCTGTTTTAGTTTTTAATGTTTAAAAGTATTTAGTTATGTAATCTCAAAATATAAATTCAAATCAACTTATCTATATTTACAATATAATGCAATAAAAATAATTATGTATAACTATATTTGTTTCCTTTTTTCATTATTAATTAAATATTCAAATAATATAAAAGTTATTATTATTTCATTGAGCAATACCTAATATTTTTTTCTTTGAGTTTGATCATGTTTTCTAACTAATCTTATGGTCTGTGGGTCAAAACTCCTGCTGTGTATTTTCCCCTATTCTCATGTCTCTTTAAGTTAAATTACTTAGAAAAAAAGTGGCTGCACTATCCTAAAATGGCGTCAAAACACTGCAGACTAACAAATTTGACTTGAGTTGGTTTTATTGGTCACTGACATTCAATCTTCAGCTCAATTTTGCCCTAATTGGCGATTTAGTTAACCTGAGAATCGGAAAACATAAAAATATAATTGGCCTAAAAAATAAAAATCGCAAGTTAAATCACTTTTTCTTATTCTTAAAATAAATCATATTATTACCTGTTTTAAACTTTGTGGATAAAAGAAAGCAGGTTATCTAGGATTAGGAAATATCAGTTTGAATCCCATTACACAAGAACATAAAATATAGGGACTGCGAAATCCACTTAGGTATCTCATTATTCAGTGTACCTTGCAAGATTTATTATAAAATCCTGGAAAAGTAGCTGAAGGGAGTCATCAAGAGGGCCCTAAAAGGAATAATATGGATTGAGGCCACAAAGCACACAAGATCTATTATTTGCAATGAGACACTTCTCTGAAATGAGAGGTGAGGTCGTGATGGCTGAGCATGTTAGGACGTTAACCGTTTTAGCATTCTCGTGCCTAGCGATGCTGTGGCGGACCTACAGAATGAAACTCGACCCTCCCACTCTGGCTAAAATAGGTTTGATTGTACTTCTAGAACAACTTCTTCCCCCTCCCCCTCTCACGTAAGCCATAAATTGTGAGTAGTGGATTATAAAAAATAAATAAGCTCTCTGAAAAGACAGAGATCATGGCGGCTAAACGAGTTAAAGCATAAACTTTAATGTTCTCGAATCTAACGATGCAGGCTTGAATCTGTCATGGAATCTCGACCTTCCCACTCTGGTTAAAATAGGTTTCGTTGTACCTTTAGAACAACCCCCTTCCTTCCTCACCGTATGTCAGAAATGGCGAGGTAGGGTTATTGATAAAAAAAAAAAAAAAAAAAAAAAAAAAAAAATGCTCTGAAGAGGTCTTGAAAAAGAACAAAGAAGTTAATACCTGTTTTGTGGACTTGACAGAACTCTGAGAACGCTCTCCAAAAAAGTGGAGGTGGGTTGGCCGAGGGGATGAATGCGTTTGCTAAAAACTGATAACCTGAAGATTACGAATTTGATTCTCAGTCCTAGGGCATTTGACTGGCACGCCCAGAAATACTTGGAAAGGTGCAATCCAGGAGGCATGCAGTAGGAGAGGAGTGGACTAGAACAGGTGCAGCCAGCTGATACAGGATTAAAAGTGGGTATCAGGCTTTACCTGCAGAAACCCTTCACACCACTCAATTATAGAAGAGGAAATGATTAAAAATAAGAAGAAACTGAAGGAGATACACTCAATTAAATTTAATAATCTTATTTATATGAAGGAAGCTCCTTACAATCCTCGCGGTGTTTAGCAGCACAGCTTTCTAGGCTTATAACCGCTGTTAACATGCCCAGCTTGTCAGTTGCCTCCACAGTGTATATTGGTATCAGACCATTTTTGGAGATCATTATAGCCCTTCTAGTTATTTTACCCAGCAGCTGGAGTTTGATATTTTCTATTTTTTTCCATGCAAACTAAATTAATGTTTCCATTATTTAACTACTGATGAATGATTCCAATTCAGTTTTATTCCTTCCCTCTGTTGCTTAAGGCTTATAAGACCTTGTTGCTATGACCTGATTCTGTATTGCTGTAAAAAACTCTCTGTCTTGGTAAACAGGCTTCGTTTAACTTTCTAGCCAACTAGTAGACAGTGTTTAATATATTTTAGTTGAATGAAGCTGGTGAAAAAATCTTCCATAAAATGCTTTTGACTTCCAGTCTGTCACTGTCTGTAATACATCCATAATGGATGCATTTTCTTAAGAAGCTAGTTGTTCATTGTTTTGTCTCGACTAGTGGGACTAATAGGTAGACTAATGGGATAGAGGTTTGATAAAAAGTCAAACATATATATACAAAATTATAACTTTATTGAAGATAACATAGAAATAACACTTTAATTTACATATAGTCTGTCCCAGTGCCGGAGGGGATTTTAAATTCCCCGCCCTTACCCCCCGGTCCGGGAAAATCCCGTATAGCCTAAAAGGCGAGGTAGGGAAGAACAAAAAAAAAAAAAAAAAAAAAAAAAAGAAATAACACATAAGCTCTAACGCAAGTGTTAGGTTACAACTCAACAACCATATGATAACTCATAACAGCTCTCTCCCACAAAATTTAAATCAGTTCTGAATAAGAAAAGTAGGAGCTAAACAAACTGAAATTGAAAAATCTAACTTGCTTTTAATTTACATATAGTCTATCAATAATTTATATAAGTATATAATTTATATTTTAATAATTTAATATTTATGTGTTATAAGCACATAACACATAATTTAAACCCGATCTGGAGGTGTTGAGGCAGTTGATCAATTCCTGGTTAAGGTTTTGGTCTGCATGTGGATTAGCATATTTTTCTCCTTCCTTGGGTTGTTAGGGTTCACAAGTTGGCATTATGTGACTAAGATAATGAAGGAATGGCAGAAGTTGATGTTCTTCTAGGGAGTGCTGCTTTCTTTCCGGCGACAAACAAGGTACTGGTAGAGTTGTCTTCTTTGGTATGTTAGTTCTAATTAGTGGATTGATATGGTGTTTGTAGATGAATCCATCATCAAGTTGCTCAAGATAATGAAGAATCCCATACTTCTCAATGCTCTTAGAATCAGAGTAGTACTTTGATTGGAAGCGTGTTCCAACTTCGAGCTGTCTTGTGTCTGGAATGATAGACGATCTTGGATTTTCTTTGTATGGATGGTTTTATAGCATCCAAGTGAATTATCATGGTCCATTTTAGGTACTTTTCAGCTAGAGATTCAACATCCGTGAGAGGAGTGGCTCAGTAAGTCAACATGACTCTCTGCAGTTTTGATGGAGTCGGAGTGTTTCATTTTCCATGGCCTTTAGATAAATTCTTGAGGGTTTGAACATTTCTTTCGGCCAATCCATTGGTGGCTGGATGGCCACAGGCAGAAAATTTTTGCTTTATGCCATTGGTATTATAGAATTTTTTGAAGTCTTCAATGGTAAAAATTGTGCCATTATCGGATAAAGTACCAAGGGAATTCATGAGTTGAAAACATTACCAGAAGTAGCTCAACTTAACCAGAAGTAGGTTTTTGATGTTGGAGCCTCATTGATGCAGTGAATTTCAGGTCAGCGTGACTTAGCATCGACAATGATTAGAAAATGTTTGCCTTTGTACGAATACGCATAGTCCATGTGGAGTCAACCCCAATTTTCAGCTGGTTCTTTTTAAGAGTGTATGGGAACTTTCGACTGGTTTTTCTTGATTTTTGCACAGGCCTCACAAGATTGTATGAGACGTTCGATGTCTTGGTCGATTCCAGTCCAAGAACAATATCTCATCGCCAATTGTTTCATTTTAAAATCTCCTATATATGTTTCAGGAAGTTCTTGAACAATCAAAGGCTGCAGAGTTTTCGGGATGAAAACCCATTGATCTTTGAAAAGAATGCCTGAATTAAGCGTATATTTCAAATCGGTACAACTCTTGTTTACCACATCGATCTTAATTTTTGAAAGCTTTTCATTCTTTTCTGTTTCTGCAGCTACTGTCTCTCGGCTGTGTTCCAAATTTGGTTGATAGTCGCAGAACAAATCGTGTGGACTGTTTTACGAAGAATATAATCCACAGATGGCACCTTTTGATTGAGAGGGCTCTTGAACAGTCGACATTTATATTTTCCGATCCCGTTTTGAATTTGATTTCTTAGTCGAATTGAGATAAGAATGAGACATGTCTTAGAAGACGTTTAGATGTCATTGCTGACAATTTGTTTGTTTGGTGGAAAATCCGGGATAGAGGTTGTGGATTACCAACCTTTTCCTATAAATATACATATAGAAGTGGTTCATACCAAACACAATCGCAAGAGTCTCCCTATCCAGCTGACTATTATTTCTCTCAGCTGGAGTAAGTGAACATGAGACTGATTTTTCTTCGTTACCGATTTGATACGAGAACACAGCTGTGATCCCAGTGGGCCTAGCATCACATGTTATGATTGTTGGGAGTTAAGACTCAAAAGGTCAAAAGAACTGTCACTGGAAATTCATTTTTCAATTTTAGGAGCAGCTTCACGTTGGGGCCATCAGTAACAATCTGGAATGAAATGAGAGTAATATGTTATTAGTCCAAGGAAGGGGCACACGTCATCAGCATTTGTTGGACGTGCCATTTCCACAATAGCAGTGATATTCTCCGATGTGAGTGTTGTTGCATATTTTCTGTCTAGTTCGTTACCAATAATCCCGTGGTGTTGAGTCCAAACTCTGTTCAGCAGTTGGGTGTGGCCATCTGAAACAATAAATATTTCTTCTTTTCCAGTTCAATTTTTATATTGGACATTGACCCAAATTTTCCGATATGGGCAAAGATATTAGTATAGTATTGAAAACCTAAATTTAATTTTTTTTTTAGTGGTATGTTGAGTTTAAGAGCATTGAACTGTAAACATGGCTGTAATGTGAATCCTATCCCGGAACTTCAAATTTCTGACATTAATTTTCGATTTCAACATGATGAATCATCCCATTCATGCACAAAGGCAATCCTCAGTTCTTGGAGGTCACTTGGATGGTTCTGTTGTTGATTGATTGACGTTCCAACCTGGTGCCAAAGATTAATAGGATTGATGTCTGGGCTGCTAGCTGGCCATTCCAAGGTGCAGACACCAACATTTTTAATTTAGTGTAAAATCACACTTAGTAATTCATGGATATATTTAATTGAATCCAACTCTGAAGGAACACCTGAGAATAGATTTTTTTTTTGGCATTTCTGTTCAATTAGGACATTGGCGATTAAGGTTTGGTGGCCTTCGGTTTATAACAACTACTTAAATAAGATTATTAATTCTCATTTAATACAATAACGCACATTATCCTCCATGTCCATTGGCATCACCAGCTGAAAATGTGGCTTTTTTAAAACCTATTTTCTTTTAATATTTTTGTAAATGAAAAAAAATGTTAGAATCTTTGGATAATCAATACTTTAAGTATAATTACTATTTTTCTACTGCTTTTATTATTTGTTTTTTTTTTTCTGTTTAGATCAGAAAATACCAAACAGGATAGTAGTTCTACTGAAGTTCATCAACATTTCATTAATGGAACCACTCATGTGCATACAGAAATAAATAAGTGAGAATGATATATATTTAATGTATATTAAGTTAAATATTTTTAAGATTATAATTTAGTGATAAATATTGTATCTTATTATCAAAGTTTGTTAAAAAAGTTCTTTACTTCTATTTATATTGGGTTGTCCGTAAAATAATACAGGAATTTGGTTTAAAAAGAAAAAGAAAGATTTACAACTGTTTCATTTAATCAAAATAGTCTCCGCTACTATCAATACATTTCTGCCAACTTTTGGCTACTTTTCCATTCCCTTGGAATAGAATTTCCCATTTTAGAATTGATAAACTCCAAAAATGCATTTTATAATTCCCTTTGTCCATTAAATTTTTTGTCACTTAAGTATTGGTTTAAGTGTATAAAAAAATGATAATCCAATGGCCAAAGGCCTGGCGAGTAGAGCGTGTGTGGTAGAGTTTTATATCCAAGCTCCAACTGTTTTTGTGACGTGACACGTGAGACATGTGGCCGGGTGTTGTCATGCAACAAAATGGGCCCCTTTCGATTGACCAAAGTTGGCCTCATTATTGCCAATTTCTGGTGCATTGCATTAATTGGTTACAATGAGATTCACCATTGATGGTTTTCCCAGGATTTAAGAAGCTGTAGTGTATCAAACCAAATGAAGCCCACCAAACAGTAACCATAACCTTTTTTTGATGAGTTGGGGCTTTAGAAAATGTTTTCTGCTTCTCCTTTGTCAAGTCACTGTCCAAAACGTCTACTGTTGTGGTATAGTATCCAGTTTTCATCACAAGTAACAATTCTGGACTGATAAGGGTCGTTAATGTTTCGGCAAAGAAGTGTAGCATGAACTTCATAATGCTGGTTTTTTAGGTGGTCATTTAATGTGTGTGGAACCCAACTTTCAAGTTTTTTTACCTTTCCGATCTCCTTGAAGTGGTCATCCATGCTCGATTTGCTCCATAGCAAATTAACCTTTTAAGTTTTCTTGCAAGTTCTTGAACAGTTATCTGGGGTTTTCGTCCACGACTTTCTTTTTCTGCAAGGCTGAAATCTCCCTCCTGAAATTTTTTGAACCTCCGTTAAACAGTGCACTCATTAATGCTGCTCTCGCCCCAGACTTGATTTATGTTTCTGGCCATCTGAGCCCTATTCTGGCCGACTTTAAACTCATAAAACAACATTATACAAAAATCACATGTTGACATCTTAGCAAAGACTCAATTATTTCTAAGCAGCGAAATGCTACTGAGGTAAAAAACATCGTTTGGAAGAGGATTATAAGTGTTGACATTCGTACAAATGAATAATCCATTAAACGTTAACAGTTTGTTTTTAAAGTAAAACTCAAAATTCTGCATTATTTTCCGGATAACCCAATACAATAAAGAAGATAAATAAAATCTTTCCTTGATCCAGTTGTCTCACTTAACTGCTCTCCTTAGTCCAAAATTTGTCTCCATATTATCTTAATTTATCAATCGAGCTTGTGAATGTGCCAAAAGAATGGAATGTAAAAAGAAAATATTCTAGGGGAATTCAAATTTAATTCAGAACATCATTCTTAAAAATTGTGAAAACTGCATAAAGATTCTAATCAGGTTATTTAACTAATCTGCAGGGACACTTGCAGAAATACATCTCCCACTTTAAATTGTTCTGTGATTGTCTGGTTAGCCCCTTCACTATAGTAATCCGAACTTAAAAGAGGAGGAGATGAGAAAAATAAATCAATGTTTTCAGGTGGATCTACTTGTATGTGTCGAGATATTGTTTGTATTTATTGAATTTTAAACTTTTAATGTAAGTATAACACTCTCTGAAATTGAAACTTTACAGTAATTGGAACACCCCTATGCGGCAATTAGTTTGGGCTACTGAGATTACACTGTAACTATTTTCAATTAGCATAGTTCCTTTTTAGGTCCACTATAATCATATTTCTTGAATTTCTATCTTAGTATACCCATTGAATGAAAATGTAGTAAAATTATTACGTTTCTCCAACTTTTTCATTTTATTTACGTTTAATACATTGGGATGTTTTGTTTTATCATAGTTTATAATTATGGATTGAGCAATATTCAAAATTAACCCTGTTATTTTTCAGAAGTGAAGGTTATAAAAATGAAAGTATCCCATCTAATACATATCCTGCTCATAATTGGTCTCAAAGTGTTAATAAAAAAGGATCATTTCGAAACAATAATGAGGCCTTGCAGAGATCAAGAATGCAGCATGTGTAAGCATCAATATTAATGGCATTTTAGATTTTTAAATTTTACTTGATTCTAAAGAATTAATTAATTTTAGCTATGAGTTGTCGCAAGACCTTCTAGACAAACAGATTGAAATGCTTGAGAGAAAATATGGTGGTGACAAAGCCAGAAATGCAGCTTTGACTATTCAGCGAGCATTTCGCCATTATACTTTAGTTAAAAAGTTTGCTACAATTACTTCTATGGCAAAAGCTGAAAAGAGGTTTAGTAGGAGATTGATGGGATTCCAGGAAGAAGGAAGTGACTCCAGGATGCTAGATTGTTTTTCTAGTAGTACTAACTTAAAATCTCAAAATCCTAATTTACCGCTAAGATCACTCTCAATGAGGGAGAAACGAAGTTTAAGCAGCCCAATGCCTAGTTTACCCAGGAGCTATTCTGGGCGATGTGAATTAGCATGTTATTCCACCACCAATATGAATCAGGATTGTTCATCAAGAGATACGTGTGGTGTAGATAACAAGCAGGTATATTTCCATATACATTATATATATATATATATAAATCTTATATATATATAATAATTAAAATATATATAATCAGTTTCGACTATTACTTTTTTTTAATTGTGTATTGATCATTAATAATTATTACAACATTTTATTATTGTTTTTTATAGGAAGAATCTAATGGTGCATCGAAATCTCGCACTAATCGGGTACCACCAGAAGTTCCTAAAAGAACATCTTCTATTTCTGTCCGTTCATTAGAAAATCCCACCAATATAAATCTGAATAAAAATTCAGATAGTGGAAGCGTTTCCAGTGTTCAGTCATCTGGTAGCGATTCTAGTGTGATTCCTCCAGTTACCAACATTAAAACTCCTTTGGTATGTTTTTTTATAATCTCTTCAAAACAGTTTTTATTAACTTATTTAACTTTATATTTAATCTGAAAGTTATCAGGAATTTATTATGTATTATTTTACTAACAAAAAATAAGGAAGTTAACACATTACTATGAATTACTAAAAATAATATTTTAAATCTATTTTTTTATAAAATATGTCACATTAAATATGCATTAATATATTTGTATAATTTATTGATGAATTTTTATTAAATTTGATCAGGTTCCAGAAACTGTAAGAAAAAGACAGTATCGTGTTGGACTAAATTTGTTCAATAAAAAACCTGAACGTGGTATAAGTTACCTTGTCAAAAGAGGCTTCCTTGAGAATTCTCCTCAAAGTATTGCTCAATTTCTAATTACAAGAAAAGGGTTGAGTAAGCAAATGATAGGTGAATATCTCGGTAATCTTCAAGATCCATTCAATGGAGCAACATTAGAGTAAGTATATTTTTTATTTGCATTCATATTAATTAGTTGTTAGCATATTTAAGTTAAAGTTCATTTAAATAGACATACAAACTCACTGAGTCAATGTATGACCACAATCAATATGCCTGATAATAGTCCAAGTGCCGAGGGCCAAAATAGTGTTTGCATTATTTCCATCCTCTTTCAATTAAAATTTTATTTAATGACTCATAGAATTTATCTATTATATATCTCTCATCCATTATATACATTTCCTGTGCTTTAGTTCACATTTTTCAGTTAACCGTTACAGCTCCCTTTTCTCTCGCTACTATACCTCTATCTTTCCTCGCATAATTCACATTTGGACGCGTCTGGATTTAAGAGGAAATGTCAGAACAGTGGAAGAGAGGAATCATCTATCCTCTTCACAAGAAAATCAACGTTCTGGAATGCTCCAACTACCATGATATTTTGCTTCTGCAGTGTGCCTGCAAGGTTCTCTCTAAAATAATTTATAAGAAGCTTCTTCTTCTGCAGAGATAGAAATTGGAAAATTTCAGGGGGTAAAATCCACAGTTGATCAAATGTTAAGTCTCTGGATGATACTCTAGAAGTCCCAGGAGTATCTAACGATTATTCACCACCTCTTGTCGATTTCTGGAGTGCCTATGATAGCATTAAAAGTTTTATACAGCTATAACAGAACTTGAAGTCTCTTTAAAACTGGTTCGGCTGATCAAAATGACCATAGATGACAATATACCTTGTGTACAGTGCAGATTCAGTCAGATCTCTCTCCACAGTCTAAATCTACCAAAGGTGTTACACTGGGCAATGACTTCGCCTTCCTATTGTTCAACCTGGCCTTAGGGAAGGTCGTACGTGATTCGGTTTTACAGACCTCTGACACCATCTTCAACCGGCTCGTTCAGCTACTCAGCTTTGCTGATGATTTGGATATTGTCACAAGGAGCTTTGAGTCCTTAAAAGAAGCTTTTTTCAATTGGCAGAGGATATGGGGATGCGTGTAAACCAGGAGAAGACTAAGTATATGAGAGCTGGACCTGGAGCAGAGACAGTGGATCGACCATCATTGGTGATGGATCAATTCACAATAAAAGAATGTCAAACAATTTGTGTACCTAGGTTCAGTAGTGAGTTGTGGAAACAGAATCTCCAGGGAAACCAGTCGGTTACTCAACTCAAAGACTCCCTCGTCACCGGGACGCGAACTCGTGACCTATTTCATATCATTTGATTGATATATCAGGTTGCCGGCAACGGCAGTGCTGTGCACACGCGTCAGCCCATTCGGTTACCCCGCCCCCTCCTGGGAAGAAATGCCCTGAAAACTACTCGATGGAAGGCTACTGGGCGAGAGGAAGAGAAAAAATACCTCAGCTCAGATGGATACTGTTGTCAGGGATATCCCCAATCTAGTAAACATCTACAATTGGCAAGCAGTGGCAAAATATAGAGCTACCTGGTGGAAACTTTTTGAGAAGACCAAGGACCATATCAGTCTGTAGCGCCCAAAGAATGTTGTGGGTTTGTAATTATTTAAGAAACAAAATGTTGGAAATAATAAAAATATAGGTATATACATTAAAGCAGCATTTGACAAAGTGTAGAAGGAAATACTTGTATTAATAAAAATTAGGATTATAGGCATAGTGGAAAACATTTTCAATTGCATTTATTCTTTCTTAGCCCAGAAACAAATCCGGTCAATTTTAATGGTCTGTTTATCCCCTATAAATAAAGATAGCCTATCCCACAAGATGCCGTTTTGACTCTAATTCTGTTCAGGATAATGTATATTGATGCAATTATCAATTGTGGTTCTAAAAACTATTCTAAGCTATTCTGCTTTAATTTAGTATAGTATAACAACAACATTGAGTATGCAAAACTTGTATGACATACGAAGAATATTGGTAAGGTTTTGTTACTGATAAGTAACAACACTTCCTATGTTATGTCAAGGTTTTATATTTTATCCCCAGCAACCAACCCAAAATCCAAATGAACAACTTAAGACCTCTGTTCTTAGCTCCAAAACTTCTACACATTATCCAGTTAATCTGGGAATATTAAATTCTTTTTTTGCCAACTCTCTTCCTTCTGCATTCATTCAACCAATCACTCTTTTTCATCAATAAAATACCTGCTTGATCCTGATTAGTGTAATCGTTATACCATTTTTTTAAATACTTAAAATTTGTTGAAATTAGCGCTTAATATCAATTTTCTGAATAATAGGTATCAGAAGAATATGCCAAAAGTATTTCAAAAGTCATTACTAAAATTAAAATAATGTAATAAGCTCTGGAATATATACAATAAATAAAACTCATCACTTAGTTAAGCAGTTATCTTTTCCTAACAGCTAAAATAGATTTTAGTTCATATTTCAAATGTCACATTATTGACCACAATAAAGTGTGAAGAATTAATATCATTATTGTATTCCATTTGTTAATTCATTTATTTTGTAGTATATCTGTATTATTTTTATTTAAAAAATTAACTATTTTTTCCGTTTCAAAGGCAATAATAAACGTTACATATTTTGCCCTTAAAACCTGCTAACATCATAAATTATATATTTTAATGTCTAACATATAACTTAAAATTTTGTTGAACAAATTAAAGCTTTCAGGAGCTTAAAAAAGTCTTTTTATGTTCTTATTATTTGATATTACAGGTATTTTGCTCAAGAGCTAGATCTTTCGGGTATGCAAGTTGATGTTGCTTTAAGGAAATTTCAAACCTACTTTCGAATGCCTGGTGAAGCCCAGAAAGTGGAAAGAATAATTGAAATCTTTAGTCATAGATATTGTCAGTGTAATAGAGATATGGTTTCAAGGCTTAGAAACCTTGATACTGTTTTTGTATTAGCATTTGCTATAATTATGCTTAATACTGACCTTCATACTCCTAACCTGAAAGCAGAGCGCCGAATGTCATTAGAAGACTTCATAAAAAATCTTAGAGGTAATCTGAATGTCACTCACTATTAATAGTACTTATATATTTTGTGTACAAATGGCCCTTCAACAACAACATTTAAATAAAATAATAATAACAAAAAATAAACAAGTTTTATACATCTCAGTTTTTTATGAAAGATGCTTAATATGTTTGTACTCATACTTATTAAAAATAGTTTCATTTGTATTTTACAATATATATTATATCATATTTTTGTAAGCAATGAAAAATGAAAATCGTAATAATATTTGCTCAAGTAATGCTCCCTGTCGTCATTTTTAACATTTGGTTATTCTGTTCAATATAAACTACACTAAATGATTGTGCATGGTGAAAAGAATCTGTAGTAAACATCTTGGATAAAAAGTATTTTGAAAAATATTGAGTACTGTTAATTCAACATTTTTTACTATTACTATACTATGTATAATAGTCTAAATGATTTCAACATTTATTCACTGGGTTTGCCACTAATTAAATTCAACCTTCCGAGGACAAATTCAAAATCAGTGCCTCTTCTAGCTCAAGAATCCTGAGGTACAAACATGGTTAATCTTTTGGTATATATGTAAATTTTCCTCTTAAATTTTTTAATTGAAATATTTTTTATTTTGTTAGCTCATTCATGACATAAAAAGTAAGGTATTTTTTCTGTAAAGTATTTTATTGAAAAAAAAATATATGACTGCAGAGATTTTTCAAATATTAATTTTCAAAAAAAAATAAACAGGATAATTTTGCTCTATGTGAGAACATTCATTTTCATTGTTATATTAATAATAATTCTAAGGACAATTATTTAAACCGTTCAAATTTCACATTTTATTTTTTGTGGATTGAAATTTCAAGCCTGTTTATTTATTTTGTAAATTTTCTATCATTTTTCATTAATGAGTTCTTGTGCTTTTTTTTCAGAATTGATTTCCAACTGATTTGTTATTAAAAAAATATATTGATTTTTTAAAAAATGCATTCATCATTAATAAATTGGTCCATTTTTATCATGCATACTAAATCCTCTTCTCTTTTGTTGCCTAGAATGGGCCTTCAAATAATAACAAGATAAGAATAAACCAATTTATAAGGTATAGTTTGATAAAAATTAATATAATTTGTTATCACAAAGAATTGGAAATCACAACCCTTAAGTAAGCATAGAAAGACTCCAAAAAATAATAAAATTATTTCTAAAAATCTTTTTTAAAGTGAATTATTGCTTATGTTACTTTTGCTAATACTCGTATGTTGTTTGTGAGCTTTAATGTTTACAATATCATCCTTCTTAGTGGAATAACTATGTGAAGGAAAATATTTTTTTATATCTAATATTATTTATATCTAATATTATTTATATCTAAACCAGACAGTACTTAGTAATTAATATTCACAACATCATGGGAAATTATATTAACATTATGGGCTATAGTTAAAATTAAAAACCATATCAGGCATTTTATAGGTTAAAGTTCATCTACATAATTTTCTATTTTGATTACAGGTGTGTTAAGATTATTATGGAATTTTTGTTTTAATATTTTATTTATTTATTGCTTTGTTTTGGTATGATAGTATTTTTTTTTATTTGTAGGAGTCGATGATTGTTGTGATATTGATAAAAATATGCTTATTGGAATATATGAAAGAGTTAAAGCTAATGAATTTAAAACAGGTTCAGACCATGTTGCTCAAGTTTTAAAGGTCCAGTCTACTATTGTTGGCAAAAAACCAGTAAGTATGATTGCTAATTTTTTAAATTAGTAAAACTATGTGTGTATGTATAAATAATTATTTGAGCACTTTGAGAGGATTCCAAATCAAAGTCTTCAGTCTCTATTTTTAATATTCATTTAAAATTAGTCACCATATTCTGGGTTAAAAATTTCTATCAACTCTTAGTAATTATGAATTTTGTATAAAAGAATACATTTATCATACATTTTAATCAAACAAATATTTTAATGAATTAAGAAAGGGTCATCAAAGATTTGTTCCATTTCTTGGCAGTTCCACCTAACTTGTAGCAATTTGTTTTTCTTACCTTTTGACACTTCTCAACAGCTCTCTCCTTAAGTAGTGGTAATGGATTTTTTTTCCCTGACATAAGAGTGCATCGGTCCTCAAGAAGGCCTATTGTGCGTCGCCTGAGACTCAATTAAAACAGACCAGATGCCTTTGTGAACCTGGTAATACTAATAGGATAAATCAGTTCGCAGTGCTTAGGGTCAGTGATACGATCACATCCAAAGTGAAAGTATCGCACTCTAGCCAAATTATCACATCTACAAATAATGTGATAGGCCGTTTCATCCTCCAGGCCAGACAGCCTGCAGGTGGAGGTCTCACTTACACCCAAATTAAAAAGGTACTTATTTAGTTGACAGTGACTAGTGTACAATCCTCTCACACGCCTAATGGTACTCTTGATCACTGGAAGAAGTGATTTACTTCTCTTGTGATAGGGCCCTACTAGAAACAACTTAGAATGAGTTTGTTAATTTGTTTGTTATGTAGCATAAATTTATTACACACGATTGCCTTAATATGCCTTTTGGCAAAGCCAAGGCTTATCCCACTGATGGACTCTGGTGCAGCAGAGCCTTTCTTAGCAAGGCAATCGGCTTTCTCATTTCCTGGAATGCCTCGGGCCGAGCCCCCCCCCCCCTCAAAATGATAAAATATAACTATGTTTTACAGAAAAAAAATATTAGAAACTATCTCTTAAAGTATTCTTGCTCGTGTAATTACAATTAATAGGACTTCAAGAACCACTTAAACACCATTTCATATAGGTAGTTAATTTCTTTCTTTTTTTTCTAATTAATTATCGTTATATGTATATGAAAATTTTTTTTTTCGGGTTGCAGCCCCACCAAAAATTAAATCCTGGATCCGCTAGTTACCCACAGTATGGATTGTCCCAGCTCAGATTTAAGGACTCTCCTCTTCAGAACCGTATTAATCCATTCCGAAGCCAAGAGTCCGACCCCTCTACTTTCAAGTGCTCTAGTCATTGTTTCTTACACGGTACAATCAAAGGTATCTTTAATGTCAACAAAGAAACCCGCAATACTCTTTTCCTGCGATAAGATTTTCTTGATTCTAAAGACCAAATGGTGCAACGCTGTCTCACTGGGTTTACCGGCTTGATAGGCAAATTGAGCTCAGTGTAGCAGTCTTTCTACTAGTGTAGAATCCCTAATATGTCTATCCATTATCTTTTCCAGCCCTTTCAACAGAAAAGAAGTCAGACATAGGTCTGTATGCTTTGGGATTGTCATAAGACTTTCCCATGCTTACGTATTTGTAAAAGGGCCGGGAAGATCCCATCAGTACCAGCTTATTTGAACAGTGCAAAGGAACCAATTGCCCATTCAACTCTCCTATAATTCACGATTCTTTTAGCTTTAACCCACTTGTCTTTGCCACAGGTGTAACTATCCATATTGGGATTAACTTAACTATATGCTCATCAAGCATTAGGCAGCCAGGAAAATGAACACGCGTCAAAGCCTCCAGAGTATCTTCACCAGAATAGGTGCTACCTCCTTCAACCCTGACTGTGCCTCTGGCCGAGCCAACTGTCTGCTTTGCTAAGCTTTATGGACTCTGGACATGATGTATCATTTATGTCACTACAGAAGTTTCTCCACGCCCCCACGGCCTTATTGTATTCAGTTAGGAAACGCTTATAGGTATCCCATCTGCCCGTACTCTTGGCAGCATTAAAGAGTTTTCTAGTTGAGGCTATTAGCTTGCCAAGTTCATAGTTCCACCAAGAGACATTCCTGTTGGATCTAACGCAACTTACTCAGTTATTGTCAATGTAAAACATCATAATTGCCTCAAATAGTAAGGAGTTGAGGCATTCCAAATGCCAAGAATTCATAATGATCTTAGCATTTGACTTCTTTATCGAGCTGTATGCAGTATCTCTCCCAATTTGTATGTTTATGGTTTCTGTATACAGACTCAGTCATATTATATCGAGACGAATCTGATATAACGGTGATCAGAGCATGATTCTTTATCAGTGACATGTCATTTCCTTATTCTAGAACTTAAGTAACGCATGCTTCCCCAGATCTTGTTGTGAGCATTGGCATCTAGTCCTGCTATCACCGCTTCTTTATCGGGGAGATACACTGCTGCCATTATGATCCTCTCCTCATCCTTACCCTCAGAAAAGGCTAATTGAGGTGCTGCCAGGTCTCTAAAACAATGATGCCACAGAGGCATCAGCTTAATTCTATTCTTGAACAGGATACAGGTTCTCAGACATTCAGGCACTTCAATAATGCTATACCCAGCCATGTCCAGTTTCCTAATCCTGTTCACGAACAGGTAAGGTTCTTGGATCAGTACGATATCAATATCCTCACCTCTAACATACCGCTGAAGTATGCCACAAGCTGCCACGCAGTGATGGAGATTCACCTGCAACAGCTTAACCATCATTAAGAGGAGCTAGTCACAGGACAACCCTCCGCCAGGGTCCGAGGGGATACATCCGTCCCAATTTCATATTTCTCGGGTCTGGAGAACCCTAACACCTACCGGAGATAAGCCCTCTTCAGCTAGTCAGCTGGCTGAGACGCTACTACAATTCCACAAGTGGAAGCAGAAGTTTCCCCTACCTCTTCTGCCTGGGGAACTTTTAAAGAAGCAGTACTCACCTTTGTGGTCTGCGCATTAGGTTTAGGCGGCTTCTTCTCAAACACCTTGAGTGCAACTTAGGCCACGCCATACTTCACCATCCTCAAGGTGTTTGATTTTCGTTTCGGGGATTCGAAGGATTCCACAGTATCCATTTGTTTCCATCTTAGTTCCCAACACCTGCTAACTTTCGATTTCTGGGATCCTACCATTTTGAATCCGATGTCTCCTAAGAAGTTACTCCTCCGGAATTTTCTCGCCAGGGGAGTATGCCCCTACCCTGATAGCTTTTTTGAGTTCTTTATCACTACCAGCATGGAGTTTAATAGTGAAGCCCACACTGATGGTGAAGCTATCCACTACTCTACAAATCCAGTCTTTGGTGGATTCATCATCACAGACGATAATACATCCCCCCAGATGGTGGCTAAAGCCACTAAACTCAGGGATGATGCCACCCACCTCCAGCCAATCTACAAATTTGATCACTTAGGCTTTTACTTCCTCACTTTGCTCCTTGGTAATCTGAGCAGATGGATATTCACAAGGAATAATTGCCACCCTACAGCCCCAAGTCGCTTTAGCGTAGGATATTGCACCAGCCCTCCTGCTTCTGGCCCTCTTCGTTGCAGGTGTCGAGTTCCCCGGCGAGGACCTGGTGCACTTTGTGACAGGCCCGGGCTCCTCACTAACTCATGCCTTTGTAGCCGAAGCTGTTGTAACCGATAGCTCAGTCCCAGACGTTGCCTCAAACTACTTCATCCTCTTGTATTTTCTTCTCTTTGCACCAGAGAACTTGAGTCTTGGTGGGACACCAGTTCCACCAGCCTGACCTTTAGTCTCCTCTGTTATTACAGAGAGCTTAGAAACTTGGACTGAGATAATCTCAGTGGAGTTTCTTGAATTTTCCTCAAGTGGGTCCATCGATCTCTATGGAAGGGAATGATGTTTATAAAATTGCTGACTTTAGTGAGGGGAAATTGTATGTCCTGTTGTTTTTATTTTCAACTTTTTCATAAAAATAAATGTGTAACTAATAAATTACACATTTTATGCCTTTTTAGTTCACTTGAATATTCTCATAATCAATGATTTCTTTATAATATAAATTGAAACTAATTGTGGATCACGAGTATTTCCTGATTAGCATTTTATTTTATTTCCGTCTCCTTTATAGTTTCAATTCAATCATGATCAGGTACACCTTTTTGACTGATTACACTAATTTTCTATGAAAGGATCTTTGCTGTTATCATTAAAATCCTATCTTGAAATGAATTGTGAAAAAAATATGTTTATACCTAACTTTTTTGTGGAATTTGAATCTCTAAAATCATGCAAAATAGAAGAATGGTCTAAATATCTCCTTTAATGGTCAAAGTTTTTTGATTTTTCATCATTTATTGTAGTATCAAGATCAATTATATCATTCTACTGACATCAAGTTTGCATATGGAGAACTAATGTTTATTAATAGCATATTATTTTTAAATTTTATATTTTTCTTAAAAAATTCTATACACATTTTACTTTTTTCTTTTTCCAGAATTTAGCTTTGCCTCATCGCCGTCTTGTTTGTTATTGCCGTCTGTATGAAGTTCATGACATATATAAAAAAGAACGCCCTGGTGTTCATCAAAGAGAAGTATTTTTATTTAATGACTTGCTTGTGATAACTAAAATATTGAGTAAGAAGAAAAGTTCAGTAACCTACACCTTTCGCCAGAGTTTTTCACTCTCAGGCCTTGCTGTTTCATTATTTGAAGTACCATGTGAGTAAACATCAAAACTTTGGTTTAGGATTTGTAAAGGAGGGTTTACACCAAAATGTCAACAGTAATATTGATATTAGTAGAAATGCTATTAATATTTTGATGCCTATTATTATTGTTGTTGTTATCATTGCTTTTGTTGTTAAGAATATTTATAGCAAAAATGTTAAAAGCATTTATGTTATTTACATTTTAATACATACCCTTCTGTTTACACTAGTCAGTAGCAAAATGTTATTAACATTGCTTTTGCCTTGCTTTCTACTGGAGTACAAAAGTAGACTTGATCCCATATATTGGATATAAAATAATAGATTAAAGTTAAATTAGATTAAGAATATTTTATTAAATCAAGCATAATTCTTTCATTGCTTATGCTTTAAATTACTGTAAAGATTTTGTTATATTTTATATTTTCTTTGGTTATTAGTTATTATTATCATATTTATTTTTCTTATTATTATCAATTTCATTTATATTTTTATAGTAAAACTAAAAAATGTAAAAATATCCGTATGCGATAGTTTTCGACACCGCCTATTCAATTTTCAAAAACCTAAACAATTAAATCTGGCATCCTTCAGAATGAAAGAACTACAATATTGTGCAGGAATGTGTGTTTCTTGCTCAAAACACAAAACACATCCTTCCTGGGCAACACCTGTTAGGTTAGGTTTCCAATCTTTAGCAATTTTTTCATTTATAAAACTAAATAAATAGTGAGAGATGCTAGTATATGCAAGTGCAGAAGGGATTTCCGCTTCAAATGAGCATCTTTTACCAGTTCAAGACCATTCCCATATGCATAATATTCTTCAATAACTGCAATTAGGTGCCGACAACTGGAGTTTTCATAATCAGACACAATCAGTATGATTAGTAGTGTTCCCATCTGGCAATATCCGAGTTCCTTTGTGATTTTCTTTATGTCTAAACATTTTCACTCGTGATTTCATGTTTACTGTATTTTCCGATAGTAGGGATAAAAGCTTATAGTTTTAGAATATCATTTGCTGAATTAATAGTAATATTGATGGCTTACCCCTCTAACCTGGTTAGACCATAAAAACTCATTATCATAAAAAACACACTCATTATGAGTTTTTCGTTTTGTATGAAATTAATTTATTTTTAAAAGAAAATAAAAATTTTAATTAGATCAATATAAGCAAAGATACTGCTAAAAATTGTTGTATTGGAATTTTTCCGGTACTCAAACCCTTAAGATAATTGTGTGAGTCTTTAGAAATAGAAAATAACTTTATTCTGGGACAAAGCCCCTTTAGAATAACAAAATAGAACATAATTAAAATACTACATCTGACCAAAACAAAATAATAATAAAAAAGAGAAAGTAAAGAAAATATTAGTCAAACTAGCTATATACAAAAAAAAAAAAAAAAATTCTATATACAAAACACTTAAAACTATGATAAAACACTTAAGACTGTGTACAGTAGGAAAAATTATAATTTTACTCTTTTGAAAAATAAAATACATTGAGTTCTTCTTTAAAATGAGGTGTGTTTCTGCTAACAAAGAAAAGACAAAGCTGACAATATAAAATATCAGTGTATTTAAATAATGATTAATATGTAGACTCATCATTGTCAAATGCTAGCTATAGGTACAGATTTAATTATATACGAATAAAAAACACAAACAAACAATAGATGCGGTCAGTGGCATTAAGATATTGTAATATTCCTAGTGAAGTTCACAGTATAGAATAGTACTATCGTTTGATGATGTCTAGAAATGTATAATTTCAAAAGTTTAGCAAGTATCTGACTGTTTTTGGGATAGGAATTGGAATAGGAGGGACTTGAATGTGGATATGGAGGGGGAATGCCGAATTTTGATAGGTAGAGAATTCCAGAAATTGACAGCGCTAGCTATAAAGGAATTCTGAAATGAGGCAGATCTGTGAGAAGGGATGTAGAGGTCAGAAGGTCGAGATCTTGTTGATAGGGAATGGACTGAGGACTTAAATTGGAGAAGGTTGTAGTCATAAGAAGGACGATGGTTGTTGATGATTCGATAGAGGAACGTACCTAGGAAATATTGTCTTCTAAATTCTAAAGGAGGGGAAGAGCCACCTTAACTCAGTGTAATGGTGAGAGACATGGGAGTACCTCGAGGCACCAATAACAAATCTTACGCAGCTATTCATTAATCTTTTCAGTCTATCACGGAGCTCCACCGAGAGGCCATCATACACCACACAGCTGTAGTCAAAGTGAGGGAAGATGAGAGAGGAAATTAGGAGTCTACGGGTATGTTGAGGTAGGAGATGGCGGAAGTGATGAAATAGTTTAAGGGTAGAGATTGTCTGACGGGAAATGTAATAAGTCTTTAGTATGCATCTGGTGTAGATAGTTCCAGAACTACGATCTTCCACCACTTAATATTGTGGATAAGTTGAAGAAATTTCCATTGATGATTGCTAACCTTTAATAAGTTATTAAGTTAATTTCTACTTGGTGGTAATCTAAGGCAAAGTCAGTTTTTCCCCCCATTTATCCTTGTTGCAGAATTTATAAAAAAAAATATCAGGACTCAATGGGAGTGATTTTATTAGGTAAGTAATGAACTAATCCTCCTCCATATCAAAATTATCTGTTAAATGAACATATTGAAATGAATTAATAATCAATAAATGCATTCATATAATTTTTATTATTTAAAATTATGTTTATGAGCCATGTCTTTCCAGACTATCCATTTGGAATAAGATTATCCCAAAGAGTAGATTCACAAATTCTGATCACATTCAATGCTCGAAATGATCATGACCGTTGCAAGTTTGTAGAAGATATACGTGAATCTATTAGTGAAATGGATGAGATGGAAAATTTGAGAATTGAAGCAGAGCTGGAAAAACAAAAATCTAATAGAAATGGAAGGTAAAATTAATTTTCAATTTAATTTTAATATATTTTGTGTAATGGTAGCACTAATGTGGTATTGTTTGTATTTAAGATCTGTAAATGGAAACTGCAATGAAAATAGAGACAGTGGAGTTGCTGATATTGAAGTTTGCGCTTGCATTCATAGTGAATCTCCTACTCATTTTAATGAAAGTCATGGTAACATAAAAAGATCAGCTTTGAGTAATTCTTTGCTTGATATTCATGAGCAGACACAGTGTGGTTCAGTACAATTTTCGGAACCCCCGCAGATCTACTCAACTTCCCTTGATCAGTCTGATTCACTGTGATATTGTTTCGTCATTGTTTTGTATATAGAATATTGATTATGAATTTTGAGTGAGATTTCAGTATTTATTAATATTTTGCTAATGTAGTCTGAACTAAATAGTTTTGGTCTGAACTTTAAGAAAAATGTCTTTTCAGTATTATCAGTTTTCTTTGCTCAAAAGTGTTCAAATTATATTAATATATTTTACACATATTTATTTGTGAAATAAAAAATATTCTTAAGTTATTTTAATACCATGTTTTACACTTCTATATTTAGGAAAACATTTTGGTTCTATATGCAAATTGATGCCTGTTATACATGTACACTTCCTTTTAAATCTCATTTTTTAACTCAATGTAACAATGTCCTTGCAAGAAAATTTATTATCTTTAATTTTGTGATGGCTGTTTTATCTAATAAATGTTTATTTACTAATGCCCATACTTTTTAGGCAGTCAATTAAAAACAAAATTAAAAAATATAATTTTCCAAAATTGAATTTTTTTTTCTCAAGTTGAAAAAACATATTAATTTAAAATGATAAATAACTTTTACTGTTATTGAACAATTAAATTGTTTTATATAACAAGCCTCAATAAATCTATTTTTAAATCTTTAGAATGCATAGGCTCTTGGTGAATGATTCTTCTTAATTTTCAGACCAAAGCTTATTAAATGAGTTCTATGCTCATGAGGCTATAATCATCATGTTCCTTTTATAATCTTGAAATATATTATAGTTAAAAAATTACAGTACTTGTGTTAAAAACGATATTTTTACTACTCAAAGTATAATGATATATTTATTTCAGCATTTAGGAATAGTAAGTGAGGTTATTAAGTAAGAGTGATCAAAAGTATGTGCCAATTTTGCCATAACATTTTATTTTTTATGGGAATTATATGAATCATATCTAATTTTTTTTAAAATTTTTAATTGAATCCAAGATTTAAACTAAATTTATAAATATTTCCATCCATTTGATGTAATTGTTAAATAATAATCTTAAAATACATGATCTTTCTGCGAAGTATTTTATTTTATTGCAAACAATTATATTCAGTTTATATTTAATAAAATTTATTAACTTTTTTCCTCTTAACCATGGGAATATTATGATCTATTTCATTTATTTTGATCAGCTGAATTTCATTTAAATAAATATATTCATAAAATATTTTGCTAATTCTGAATATTAAGATTGGGTCTTTTTTTACAAACCCAATTGTAAAATTATTCATTACATGATCCATTTTCCCTAAAAATATTAAGTTAAATAAATACCTTTAGGTTACTGTACATGTTCTTATTAAATAATTGAATTAGACATGTATCGTGGGTAATAAAATGATTAATAGTGCATGATATTTTTTCATATTAGTTTTAAAAGAATGAAAAAATATCGGCATGTTAGGGCTCTTCAATAAATTACAGTTTATAAAATCTGCTTGTTCTTAATAATATGTTTTTATAATTAGTATAATTTATGATAAAATTTAATAAAAAAGTATTTATCAACTATTTAATTCTTGCTTTAACTCTGGAAACATGTTATTAGATTTTTTCTTAAGTGTAGCAACAGAATTCTATTGAAAATCATCATAACTTTAAGTATAACATTAATTTAAATTCAATTTATGAATGATTACATTAATCACTTAAAAGAGAAAAGGTCTTAGATTCTTTGTTTTAAACAGTTCTTTCAAACATATAAATTGAATTTAGAATAAAATCAAACTTGTTTTATTGTTTTGTTTTTTTCTAACTTGCATATATTTTTAAATAATTTATTGTCTTAGATTCTGTATTTTAAACAGTTCTACATAAGATTAAACCTTATTTTATTAAGTTTTTTTTTCTCACTGCTTACAGTTTCAATTTGAAAACTATTTTTTACTTTAATTGATTAAAAGTCTTCAGAAATTTGTATAAATCTTTAGTGAACTTTAACTTCCCTTATTATGATTTATTTTCTGTATATTTAACGTGTCCATGTATGTACATTTTATATGTATGTACATTTTGAAGTCTTAACTCCATTTTCAGGCTACAATTTTTCTTTATAGAGATACATTTTCTTAGGCATTTCGAATATTTTTTACAATTTATATATTATATAATTTTGTTTTAAATTAGAATAAAAAAAAAATAGTTAGTATCTAAAAAATAAATAGTATCTATTTAGTCTGTCTCGTCTTTGCCATGTTTAGATTTATACTGCTTTTTTTTTTTTCTACTGCTACTCCCTTTTCTTTTTGTATATTCTTCATTAGAAAAAAGTAAAGTAAAAGGTTCGAGTATTAGGTTTTTGTTATCAGTGAAGGAAAATATTAAATTAGTGAACTATGCCTTATTAAACGGTTTATTTTATATATATATATATATATATATATATTTATTTCAGTTGTGTGGTTTGATAGTTTTATACTATGTTCATTTAGATGTTAAGTGGAAAGGTTTTCTGACATATTTAACTGAAGTATTGAAAATTTAATGATATATATTATACTAATTATGCTAAATAGTTGCTGTATTTTGAGCCCTGACATGTTTTTTTTGCTTTACATTGCTTAGGTCAAAATTATCTGATTTTAATGATATCGAAATACCAGGCTATCCAAATGTCCGAGTTCAATATCATTGAGCTACAGTATTTTATATTTCACTTTCAAGGAGTGATTTAATTACAGTAAATACATATTATTTAATTAATGATGCTAATCTTGGTTTGTAATTTTTTGAAATCAGTGTTATATGCCTAAGGATAACATTTTTTCATTCTGTAAATTAAAATATCCTTTTATTTTGTTCATATTTGTTTTTATTTATTATTTAAAACACTTACTCATATGAATTACTGTCTCCTCTATTTAACCTAGAAATTCAAACCTTAGAATATTGTGACATACATCTATATGTTTGCTACATTTACAATTTTTATTCATCATTTTCTATAGTATTAATTATTCAGGTTTAATTTTTTTAAATTTTATTTTACATTTTTCTAAATGTTAACCAACATTTTTTATTGTTATCAAGTATAAGTAATTTTAGTATCGATTTTTGAAATGGCCCCTCGTTTAAATGTATATTTTTTTATCACTAACGAATGTCATTGTATTTCATACCATTGTACTGCTTGTGTGTATATATATATATATATATATATATATATATATGATAGATTTTATAATTTGTATGTATGATTTTAAGAAGATCACATTATGAATAGATGTAGAAAGTGTGTATTTTCGTTATAAAAATAGATTTTGTATTAATCTTGGACTTGTATTAATAGCACTTAAAAATTGCTGCAGGACTAAATACCCTCATGATGAATCTATTTCAACAGGGTTGGTCACATTTTAGCTTTTTTTGTCTACATTAGAAATTAGTCTAAATTGATATACTTTAAGTTGTAAAAGACTGATCTAACTTATAGCACTGCAATAATATTTGTGGTAAAATTATGTATCATTGTATGGTTTGCAATTTTCATTATATTTGCTGTTACTAGTCTTATAATATGTATGATATTTTAAAATTATTTTTATTTCGTCATTAATCGTTTTTTGTTTACTCTATTGTCTGAGGATGATAGATTAGAACTAAATTGGATGTTTGGATAACTGGAATTCTATTATGTTTCATGATTGAACAGTGTAACTTCATATATTATTGCCTATATTTTGTAATTTTTATGTTTCCCCTTGATACATTTTATTTTAAATTCAAGATTTAAGATACAAAATGAAAATAAACAGTATTAAAAACAAAATGAAACATTTTTAATATAACAATTCAACTCTGATTCAGCCGTATTATATTAGTTTGTGTTTTATTGTTTTTTTTGCTTATAGAGAAGTTAAAAACCAGTACACATGTGTAAATTAACATTGTAGCCTTATGAAATTGTCATATATTTTTGTGTATTCTTTTAATGTAAATTAATTGTATTTATATGAGCTAAACGGTAATATCTATTGTACCTGCAATAAAAATTTAAGTAACTGCTAAAAGCATATTAAATTTTAATCTAGTCATTGCCACATTCATATTTTACTAAACAATTATATTAAAATTGGATATTTTAATGTATAACTGCATTATGTAAATTTTATATTGTTTATCAGTTTTATTTTTTGGAATGAAATTAAAATTTTTTAGCATTAAAAAATTTGCTAAGCAGATCAGATCTCAGTGTTTTACATTTATTAAAACAATAAGCTAGTCTTCTTTACCAGTGAAAATAGTTTTGTGAAATAATATTGTTTGTAACTCATTTGTTATTATATGATATCTAACAATATGTAATATGTGTTATTGTGGTAAAAAAAAAAAAAAATGGAAAAAATAAAAAAAAATGAAACAAAAATAAGATTCTTTGTTTAAAGAGCATCGCTGTAATATACACTGGTAATTATTTCTGTTAACACTTAATTATTTTTTTTAATCTCTTAATGAAACATGTTTCTTTTCTATATTTATAGATATTAATATCATCTCTTTTTATATTTATTATTATTTTTGTTTAATTTGTCTGGAATCACTTTAAATAAATATATCATTCTGTTATGTTCTTAAATTAGTATATTTAATGACCCTATTGCTATGAAATTTAATTATAGGTAAAGCAAATAAAATATCAATTTTGTTTTATATGACAATTATGGAGCCAGGGTGGCCATGCGGGTTTAAGCACATGCAAAAATAACCTACCCTACCAATTCAATGGTTGTGGGATGGAATGTCAGTCCCAGGATTATACTGATAATTAAAAATAAAAATAAATAAATAAATTGGATAAAACTTTATAAGAAACTAAAGTTTTGTTCTAATATGACTAAAAATTAACACATCATTAAGCCTATTAGCATTTAAGATTTAAATTCAAATTGGTAGATAATCTGCTACCAGTAACTAGACAGTTTTATGGAAAAAAAAACTATTTTTTAGTAGTTCCATTAGTATTATTCCTTGTAAATCTAAATTGCTATAATTATGTCATAGAAGTAAATTTGGTAAATATTTTTTGCTTGATCTGCATTAATTATTCTTGTGTCTTTAAAATTAATGAAAAAACAATTAATTGAATAAATAGTTCTATATCTGCCTTTATCGATTACTTTTGAGATAAAGAAAGCATATTTCATGTTTCTTTTTAACATGACTTTAAAATATAGTCACCTTTCTTGGTTTCTTTGGCTACCTTTGATATAGTGTCTATTTTTATCAGAGAATATGAGGACATTGCATTAAAATTATTATTATTAATAGTACTAAGTATTTTACTATTACTCTAACATTGATTAGTTCCAAGAGCTTTCTATAATTAAACAATGTAGCAGACCATAATTCACATATAACATATGGGAAAGTTTGAACGTCCTAAGACGGGACGGCTAAATGAAAACACATCTTCCACGCTGTTCCTTCACTTCTATTCTTCTTCTGAAATTATTTTAAATCAATGAAAATTGTTTTAATTTTTTCAAATGTTTTTAAGTTTTTCTCACCTCTTCTATTCCTTAACTTTTGTTTTAAATGTCTGCTGTTGCTAATCTTATGCTATGATTAAGATGTTATACATAATATATAAATTATATTATCTAATTGAGCAGATGTTTAAGTTTAAGAGCACATATTCCTATATATATATTTATATATATATATATATAAATTTAAATCATGATAGGCAGAGGTATAAATACAAAGGTTGATTATTGAAAATAATAAATTAAAAACATTAGGTAGAGATGATAACAAAATCATATAATAATTTTTTATTGAAAGGTCTAGAAATACAGTTCAAAGAGCTGATATTTTTTTTTCAGTTGTTGATTTCCTTATCAAACCTCTTGTTATAAACAAGATGTGTTGAAAATAAAAACTGTCTAGAAAAAAAATTAAATGGGATGATATGTATATACATAATTTTATTTTATTTTTTTAACTATGCAAGAGTTTGTGAATTAATGACATACTGAATGTTTTGTATAAGTGTTATGATCAGTGGTTCCATTATATGGGTGTCTGCCACCGACCCTATTTACTATGGTAGCCTCACAACATAATATTTTTTTTTAATTAAATGACTATTTCCCATAGTTTTTAAATGTTGACCTTTGTATTTTAGTTTCTATTCACACTTAAGTGTATACCTCAAGGTCAAAAGGTTCTAATTCCCCAGGATCTATAACCCTATTTGTTACCATAATCCTTTTAGTTGAAAATCAGACATTGTACCAAACTTATTATATCATTTTGAGTTACCCAATTTTTATTTTTGGGGAAAATAAAATGTAAGTAACTTATGTTTTTGACAAATTTTTGTAAAACAATTTATTTTATGTGTATTAGTAATGACTGGTTTCTATATTAAACCTAAAATATATTTTTATGAAAAAAAAGCTTCTTTCGGGCTGAAGCCCCCCCCCCAACAAAAAATTAAATCCTGAATCCGCTAGTGCCTGAAACTTACAATAAATAACTATCAAAGGTTAATTTTTATTTTTATTAAACTGACCTTGTGGCATAGACTTAAGAGTGAATAGAGACTTTATTTCCAAAAAAACAGAGGGGAAAGACACTGGGATGCCAAGCTTGGTCATTGACAAAAGCTCAAGATAGGAAGATCTAGGTGTGGCAGAACAACACTGAAAGATATATTGTGAATGTGAGAAAAAATGACAGGGTCAAGAAGAAACACTACTCACATATAATAAAAAAAAAATTGGCTGGTTATCTTCTCTGGGAAGATAATAGACGGTGAAACTGACTGAATTCCATACGATGTTGGGCGTTATTCGAATAAACTATTTGATATTTTATCTAGGTAACGAACAATAGATAAATATTTATTCGTTATTCTTATTCGATGACCTTTGGACAGATAATGATTTGCTATTTACAGATAACATGCATTATCTAATATTCGTTTTTTTTTCTTGTTTTTTTTCTTCGATATAAAGGTATATTTATATGTTTTCGGTACTACAGTTTTTGAAAATGATTTCATTTTAAGATTACGCCACTGCGTTGCGGCATATTTGAGTTTTTTGTATTAATGTTTTTGATTTATATCAGTTTTTGAAAATGTTCTCCATTTTAAGATTACAACAATGCTTTGCGCATCATTTGAGTATTTTGTATTTCTTCGATATAAGGGTCGATTTATATGTTTTCGGAGCCGCAGTTTTTTTAAATGATCTCCATTTTAGGATTACGCCACTGCGTTGCTGCTTATTTGAGTTTTTTTAGATTTGGAATATAAGGGTCCATTAATATGTTTTTGGAAACGCAGTTTTTTTGTAAAAATATGTATTTTAAGGGTGCTCCGGTGCATTTCGATTAATTTTGGATTTCAAGGTGTACTTATATTTCATTATATCTATAGGTATCCTTTTGTCTATTAATTTGTTATTTGAGAATTAAAATAATTAATAAAATAAAATTAATTAATGTTGTACAATGCCAGAATAAGCTTTTATCTTAATAGATTTACACGTTCAAGTTCAATTCTTTGCTATAATTGTTATAATTAGAATAAAAAATGTATTTAATTTTATTGAAAAGGATCTCTAAAAAGTAAAAAATAGTTCAAAAATGTATACCTGCAATTTTCTTGTTTACTTACTATTAAAATGTTGGTATCATGACAATTAGGCATAAGGTACATGTATTTATTTTCAATTCTTTTATTTAGACAGCGGAAAAAGTATAATATTTGATATTACTTATAATTTTCTGTGAATCATAAAATTTAAAGTATTTGTGGGCTTTAGTATCAAAAACTGCTCCATATAATACCAAGTTGTTACAATAAAATTTAAGAAATTTCTGTTATTTATGTATTATTATTCATATGTTCACGAATATCTTAGTATTTTTTTAAAGCTAGATTTAGCGGTTTTTATTTATTATTAAGGCGTCCCTTATATTCCTTAATCAATGAAAATGATTTTTTATAATAACTCCAATATTTGTTATTTACAGTGGGATGTTATAAATAAATTTACCAACGTTAAATTAAATAATTTAACATGAAATGAAATTTTGAACATAGAAATCATCGTGGTAATTTTTATTCAAAAATCAATTAATTCACATTTTTTAATTTGAAGTTGTCATATTGATTCATTTTCAAAACCACTCTCATTTCAAAGAGTCTACAACTTACTTTATTACTTTCTGTTAGATCTTTCATTGTATGATTTAAGAACTAAGAAAATGCATAATACATTTTAAGAAAAAAATCGTTCAATCGGTGCTGAGAATGGGAGTGGAGTATTGTATACTACACAAACTAGGTACTTATTTAATACAGTTAGATCATCATGCATATCAGAATAGAAGTGAAGAATCTCAAGTTCTACTACATTTCACATTTGGTTTTATTTGTGAACTCGATTATGGAGATCATTTTAAAAAACTGTGGCTCCGAAAACGTTTAAATAGACACTTATATCGAAGAATCTCCCCCTAAAAAATAAGTAAGCCGCAACATAGTGGCGTAATTCTAAAATGGAAATCATTTTCAAAAATCTCGGCCCCGAGAATATATATATAGACCCTTACATCGAAGAAATTCAAAAAACTCAAATAACCCGCAATGCAGTGGGGTAATCTTCAAATGGAGATTATTTAAAAAAACTACGGCTCTGAAAGTATATGAATAGCTTCTTATAAAGAGGAAATAAAGAAAACTCAAATAAGCCACAACGTACTGGCATAATCATAAAATGGAGATCATTTTGAAATACTGTGGCTCCGAAAACATATAAATAGACTCTTTTCTACGGTTTACTATATTTTAGTAGAATTTTCTGATTGTGGATTTATTTAATTAAGCATCTTACAGTTTAATTGAAAATAACAACTTGTTAACGATCCTTAACATGAAACGTGGAAGAATATAAATTTGGACTGGTCACGTGGCTTGGATGAGTGAAGAAGAAATCCCGAGGATGGTACCTAAAGAAATTCTTCGGGACAGCTGCTTTAAAAAATGGTGGCCGATTTAAAATATATTAGGCCAATAATTTGAGGATCGAAACGGGAAATCCATTGCAAAAAATGTTAGAAAAGTTTTTATTTTTTTAACTTGTATATATGGGTTTAGACATGTAAAAAACAAAATTGCTAACGCAGGCCACCAAGGGAAAACTTTTTACAGTCAAAAGAGTCAGATTTTTTCGATATTGTTTGGGTTTTTCACCTATAACTCCTAAAAGATGCATCAAAACGAAAAATGTACTCCTTAACAAATTAAAGAACGTTAAATTTTGCGTCAAACTATTACATAAACATTAAAATTTGGTTACGCCGTATGGTATAAAACCACGGTCAACCAAAGCTGAGTTTTACCAAATTTGTCAAAAACTGAGAAAAATTACTATAAATGGCCCTGTAACTTGGAAATGAGTTCCCTAAGTGGAAGAACCCATAGAATAAAAGTTGTAGAGCATCAAATTTTGCGTCAACTGAGTGCCGACTAATTTAATGTAGGTCACTGGCTGCGAAAAAAATCGGTAATCTCTCGATGATTAGAAATTGGTAGTGAAGGTAAACCTGATTTTCAATATTTCAATAGTAGGGTGTCTTTTCTAATGAGTTAGTTTTGTTTAAAGTCTGTTACCTGCAGTATAAACTTCTATTCCACCTCTCAACAGCAAACGATT